AATTATCTTTAGATAACAAAGACCATTTTGCTCTTAATCTCCTTTAATAATTACTAATAACTTTCAAGAAATATCTCCACATAAGTCATTAAACTATTCAACTTTTCTACTTTTATCCCCAAATTCCTAAAATTTTCAATTTAGTCACTAACCCGATATTGAAGATGTTACAATAAGTAGCTATTACATACTCTAATCTGGCTCTGATACTAATTGTTTCGGAATACGACTATCGGATAAAGCAAAATCGCAACGGATAATTTGAGAAAATAAAAATGAAGATAAATAAGACACAAAATTTACGTGGAAAACCCTTAAATAATATAGGGTAAAAACCACGGGCAAAGGTAGAAGAATTTCAGTATGAGAAAATATGAATTACAACTTCTCTCGATCTAACAAGGAGAAAACAATGATAATTTTCTCTTGATAAAAAAAAAAAGAAAACAACTCTAAAGAAACTCTCTAAATTCTCTAGTATTGGGAGAAAGCTAGAATGTTTTGAAGCTAAATGGGTTAGGTATTTATAGTTGAAGCTTAAGGACTAATCTTGTAAATATCCTAGAGTGTAGGGACTAAATTACAATTATCCCTTTAGTAAATTTCAACAAAAACTGTCGTGAATGACCATGCACCATTCTTTTTTAAACTTTCGGTGCATCCATTTAATTCCACAATTTTGGTGGAATTATATATATATATATATATATATATATATATATATTCAACTTTCCACCGAAAGTTTGAAGCTTGACTTTTCAACAATCTCTCACTTTAAGATTTGATTGGAACAATCATATCTTCAAACCATTCTTTCTACATTGTACCTTCATGTTGCTTACATCTCTAACAGACCACAAGAGTATCGACACCAGGTAAATTTATCAGCATTGATTGCATTCGTCATAAAATCTGCTATGTTATCTTTGGTATGGATTTTATGCATATCTACCGTATCTTCTTCCACCTTTTCACGAATGAAATGGTACTGAACTTGTATGTGTTTTGTTTTTGAATGAAATGATGAATTCCTTGCTAGATGCAAGGTGTTTTTACTGTCACAAAACATAGAGACATGCTCTTGATTGTGCCCAAGCTCCTCCAATAGCATCTTCAACCATATTGCTTCTTTACTGGCTTGTGTAGCTACTACATATTCTGCTCTGTTGTGGACGTAGCCACAATTGACTGCAATTTTGAAACCCAACTTACAAGTCTACCAGCAAATTTGAACACATATCTTGTAGTAGATTTGCTTTTATCCAAATCCTCTGCATAGTCAGAATCAAAATATCTATTTATAAGTAAGTTTGATCCTCCGTAACATAATGCAATATTTGAGGTCCCTTTGATATATCTCAGGATCCTCTTTACTGTATTTTAATGCTCTTTGCCTGGATTCGCTATGTACCGACTAACCACTGCCACCGCTTGTGCAATATCTGGTCTTGTGCATATCATAGCGAACATTAAACTTCCCACTGTCGATGCATACGGCACTCGAGAAATCTTCATCCTCTCTTCTTCATTGCTAGGACTCATATTGGAGGATAATTTGAAGTTAATAGGATCCACCTTTTGGTGGCAACCACAAAGACAATAAGTAGATATTACATACTCTAATTTGGCTCTGATACCAATTGTTGTGGAATACGACTATCAGATAGAGCAAAATCGCAACTGATAATTTGAGAAAATAAAAATGAAGATAAAAAAGACACAAAATTTACTTGGAAAACCCCTAAATAATATAGGATAAAAACCACGAGCAAAGGTAGAAGAATTTCACTATGAGAAAATATGAAATAAAACTTCTCTCGATCTAACAAGGAAAAAACAATGATAATTCTCTCTTGATAAAAAGGAGAAAACAACTCTAAAGAAAATCTCTAAATTCTCTAGTATTGAGAGAAAACTAGAATGCTTTGGGATGATTTTGAAGCTAAATGGGTTAGGGTATTTATAGTTGAAGCTTAAGGACTAATCTTGTAAATACCCTAAAGTGCAGAGACTAAATTGTAATTATCCCTTTAGCAAATTTCAACAAAAGCTTCCGTGAATGACCATGCATCATTCTTTTCTAAACTTTCGGAGCATGCATTTAATTCCACAATTTCGGTGGAATTATATATATATTTTCAACTTTCCACCGAAAGTTTGAAGCTTGACTTTTCAACAATTACGATCTTCATCTCATCTCCTTTTTAAACAAAAAGAATAACTTAACAGTGGATGAACAAAATCGAATCAAAATGTAACATTAAACATGATTTTTTTAAAAATAATTGAATGATCAAAAAGAAATTGATAAAATAGGTAGGTTACTAAATACATAGTTTATCCTTTAATAAAAATACAATCATGGAGTGTCACTTGTAGTGGTGACAGAGCGAAAACACCATTAATAAATATAGGATATGAGCATATATATCTATTTATATATGTACTTATAATTTTTGCAATCTGTAATATGAAGATTCTACGATTATAATAAAAAAATAATTCTTTATTAGTGAATTTTTCTTTCTATCTAAAATTATACTCGAATCTGTATATATGTGATTTTTCTTTCTATATAAAATTATACTCAAATCTGTATATATGTGAATATGTAATATGAAGATCTACATTAGTAAAGGATGTAAATTCTTTTAGTTTTGTATCTATTTAAAACTTTTGAATGAGTAAAATAAATAAATGAGATTATTTCATTACCATTTTTTATGTTGAATATTTTTCACTTCATATTGTTAATCTTAGCTATCCAATTATAACATGTATATAAAATTTTGAATTAGCTAATGATTAAGTTATATTATTATTATTATTTGACTAATCTGGAGGTAAGTACAAGACAATATATGTTTAAAGATAAATCTTAATCTCTAGACATTGAACGCTCATACCCTTGGCATCTATGACGCTCGAACCCGACTTTTCAAGGAATAACAACAATTATTTTACCACGGAAGTCACTTAATTTGTGCTATTATTATATGTGCATTATTTTTATTAAAATTTAATAAAAACTAATGTATTAATTTTATTAAAAAAATCCCTCCTTCAGATTTCAACTGTGTTTATACAGTGGTATGTGGCCTCTTTTTGAATATTGGGTCGTCTTTCACTCTCCCTTTGTTTCCTTTCCTACTAAATCTAAACAAGAAAACAAATTAAGGGGTTGTTTGTTTGCCTCTTAATGGAACCGTTCAGCGCTGAATGTTGAACGTACCTCTGAATGATTCAGTGCTGATTGATTCAACAAAACAATGTTGAATGATTCAGCACAGAAGTACATTCTGGATGATTCAGAATCATTATCAAACAACATGTCACATTTAGAGCTAATTCATATAGAGCCTCTGAATCATTCTATATTTGAATCATTCAGCGCTTAATCATTCTGAAGTAAACAAACAGCCTCTAAGTTTTGTTTGTTAGCAAACAAATTATTTTCATTTTTTTATTATTTAACAGATAATTGATTGATTAATATAAAATATTTCTTATTATTCACCCAGTTTTCCGTATTATTCATACAACTAATCGGTGCATGAAAACAAATTAACTATTATGAAAATATATTATCTATGAGTATTATCATAAAAAAATCATTTATACATTTTCTAAAAATACACAATTGACATATAATAAAACGAATCAAATTAGACATCGACGGAACACGTATATAAAAAATTATAGAAATGATAAGAAAATTAAAAAAATAAAATAAAAGCAAACTCAATAAATTAATTAGGAATATAAATCATTTTTGAACAATGATTGCTAAATTTGTCACAAATGTTTACGATTTTGATAAAATCGTTCTTTGTTAGGTAAAATTATTTTACACCCCGAAATCGTCCGTAGGTAATGATGATTGTGCTAAAGTTGTGGGCAGAAATCGACGAGTTAGGTATTGATAACCAAAATAAAAAAGAATAATAATAAATAGTGTTAATGATCAAAATAAAAGGAAAATAAAATTACACGCACTTATTTACGTTGTGCATTATGTGTTAACATAAATAGGGCGAACGATGATACATACGTAGGAAAAAGGAGATGAAATATACGCCGGTTAGATATTAACTTTTACACATATAAATATGTGTTTTTTCAATATTTTTTAAATTCTCTTTCGTTTTGATCTTTGTCGTTGTTAATTTCTGTTTTTCTTTAATTCTTGATATTAAGATCATCCATAATTATCCTCAATTATAATATTATCGTTTTTATATGGTAATGATTTTAAGATATCAAATCTATCATTAAAAATGATTTTAATTATATTCAAGCACAAATCAAATGATTTTAACTGTAAAATAATTATTTTTATTATTTGAGATATCAAATTCGAACACTATAAATGTTAAGAGTTTAAACGTTTAATAAAAAATAGTTTAGTTTTATTTTTAAAAAGATATTATCTCTTAAATAAAAAAATAACTATTACTATTCAAAAATCAAAACGACATGATTTTCTAATTAATTTCTTTATATTTTTTTAACTTTTATTTTATTATTCTAAATAAACCCGAAGCTTACGAGCATTGGGTCAAAAATAAATAAATAAAAAGATTATATGTAAAACATTAGCTGAAGCACGCAACAACAACAAAAAAAACCCCTCCAAGTCTTTCTCTCTCTCTTGTGTTTTTATTACATGAAAATCAAACCCAACAGACATCAAGATCAAGTATTGTTGTCTTTCTCTCTCATTTCCTTTTTTTTTCCCTTAACCTCAAGAAACAAGACAAACCTTCCCCTTTGATTTCTTCATCAGATCTCCCTTTGTTTTACAGCAACACAACACCCACTCATCTCTTTTTCGTAAAACAAATATTCTCTTTAATCTTTATTCAACATTCAAATTTCAAACCATTTAACCACAATACTTTTTCTAATTATATATATATATATATACACACACACGCAGCTTCACCCAGAATTTTCAGAAGCAAAACCCTGAGTTTTTTTGTCTATTGGTTTTTAAGTAAATGAGGTGTAAGAAACATCTTGCCGACCTGAGTAGCAGCGTCGGCGTCTGCTCCACTTGTCTCCGGGAGCGTCTTCTGGAGCTCATCGCCGCCCAGGCACAGGCACAGGCGCAAGCCCAAAAGGCTCTATTGGCCAGCGCCGTCGCTGACGATTGCCGGAAGCCCGACCCCCCGCCGCTTATTTTCCCTCGGTCCGTTTCTCCTTACGTCAGTCGGAGGAAATCCGACGATAAAAGTGCCACGTGGATCCAACATCAACGGGTCTACAGCACCCCTCAAGTGGGGCCCACTTACAGCGCCACCACCACCACCTATTTTGAATCCACTAGATCGTTCAAGAAGAAGAACCGGTTCTCGCTTTTTTCGAATCTGTTCAGGTCAAGATCCGAAAAGTTCAATTCGGATCCCCATAGGATTAATTACCATCGGGAATCGTGTGACGAGTCGTCCTCGTCATCGGCATCGCCATCTTGGTTCGCAACAATCTTCGCCGTTCGTCGGAAAAAGCAGCAATCATTGAAGGCGTCCCGCGTGGCAGAATTTGACCAATTCGGCGCCGGCGATCGTAGATCATGCAGAGTCCTAGATCGCGGAATGTCCCCGGCCATCGAAGTGGATTCGGGAGACGAGTGCGATCGACCGGCAACGGGTGGATCGCCGGAGGTATCTCCGCGATGGAAACGAACGCCAACGGCTGCAAGGAAATCGAGGTCCGGGACGAGGAGCATGTCGGGATTAGCGTTTTGCATGAGCCCACTCGTATGGGCGAGTCCTAACAGGCACTGGAATCAGAAGGGCGGATTGCCACCGGACATGTCGTTCACCGGAGAAATTCAACCATCGACGATGAAGCCCCACCTGGCGACCGCCGCAGGGTTCCGCGCGAACAGGTCCAGGAAGCTCGCTGATTTTGGCAGAGTCAATCATAACCGTTGAGCGGCGTTACATCGTTGACATTTGACTACAGTGATTGTGAGTGAAAACTTAAGATTTATTGATTAAAACTACGGTTTTGCCATTGCTTTTCTTCAGCTTTTATGATTCGTAAACTAATATTATTATTTTCTAAAAAAGAAAATTATATATTATCGTATATATCTTTGTTACTGTACACTTATATTACCTTATAGATCAACGAGTGAGCTGTTTCTAGTATCCTTCTCCTTTTGTCTTTTTTCTTTACATAAAAAAATAATTTTATTAAAAAAATCCAAAATTATAATGCAAGCTTATAATTATAATAATAAACTAAATATATAATTCGGATATTATTTTATAATCATTAATACAAAAAAAAATTAGTCACTTAATACCATATAGGCACCATACAATGAAAATATGAAAAAATCATTCAAAAAACCTCGAACAATAGGTAGATACGAACAGATTTGACTAATACGACAAACAAACCACAATAGGAGATTAAATTTTAAAAGGATCACCTACAAACGTAAATCAAAGCCAAACATCATACGAAAATCATCTACGAATGCATGTTACGTATTTAAATATAATTCGAGGGTCTAAAACAAGAAAAATCAACGGGATAACAAATGAGCATCATCTTGATCAGTTACAATGATGTCAAATTCAACTTTGAGAAAAATAAACGACACAATCAAACGACTAAAAATAAAATTAAAAAACGTATTATAAAGATAAAAAAATGTGTCATAAAGATAAAATTATTAAAAAAAATATGAGATAAAACTAAAGAACAAAGAAAGTACAACAACCAACACCAAAACTCATCTCGTTGTCTACTATCCAAAATTTCTTTAAAAAAACGAACAAGTGGCTTAGAGAAAGAAATTATCCTTTTGTTTTTCTATTTTAATAATTTATGCTTTCTAATATCGATCCAATTATATGTTTTAATAATTTATTCTAATTGCAATTATTCAAGCTGAATTTTATTTCACATTTAAAAGTTTTTGTTATGCAATGTACCCGGTCCAACGGGGAAATGAAAAATAATATATAGTATAAAATAAATTATTTAATTCATTTTCAAAGTAAGCATTGTTTAATAGTTTAGAAATGGAAAATATTTGTAAAGTTAGATAAATGGAAGTAGCTATCATTACAAATGAGTGAAAGATATGGATATAGTTGGGTTCAAATGTTCATCATTATAGAGTAAACAGGGGGATTGACTTTGGAAAATTTTGGTCTAAAGTTCCTTACCGTTGGATGAAAACAAAGATAATGATGATGAACCGATGATCTTTTTCTTTCTTTTCCTTTTGTTTCAAAGTTAAATCTTGAGGTACCAACGTTTAATACATCAAGGGATATAGAATTTTTAAATTATATCTTGTAAATATGTATGTGAATCATCATTAAAATATTATATACATAGGCAGATGTTAAATTTTAAATTAAATAGTGAATTTCTAAAATTTTAAGGGAAGACAAACTCATAAAATTATAGGAGATAAAAATATATCATAAATAGAAAATATAAAAAATATATAATAATTTTAAAATTTTAGAGAGAAGGATTGCACCTATCTCCTTAATCTATCCCTAATCATATGACATTCATATTTTCGATTTATATCGTAAGTTTTTATTATAACTTAATATATAAGTATGTAACAGTACATTGTGGACGGTCCCTAATAAAATGGGGGCCAAATGAGAAGGTGATGGAGTGGAGAAAACATGGTGAGGGGCTGTGATATTAATGGAGGAGAGTGGAGGAGTGAAATGGAAAAATAGAAACGGGTGTGAGCATTGTCCACAGACTGGAAGTAAGCAGAGAGAGAGAAAGAGGAAATGCGGGTGTGAGTGGAGCATCATTTAGGCTTTGGCATTGCCATACTTCGGCTGTTGGTGCTAATGGTGGGTGCACTAACCCAACAACACCGAGCCCCGAACAGGGAGTTAGGTCTTAGTTTTGGGACAATTTGATGACACCTTTTATATCTATATAATGAATGTGGTAAAATACAATATAAAAATGAAATTTTATTTTAATTAATATAAAAAAAACACAATCCCATTATTTTAATGAGTAAATGGTATTGGCATTAATCCCCTTAATCCAATGTTAAAATTATGCCCTCACCCCCCCAATTACAAGAGTGTATATATAGAAAAGTTCGATTAAATTAATCAGTAGATTGAATTTTTAAGTTATTTTAATAAGTAATATTGTTTAAATTTGAATTCAATTCAATAATTTCCTAATTAAATATCTTGAATTACTCTTATTTGTTTTATTTGATTTTAAATTTAAAATCCACGCATCATGCAGGCTCTTTCATATATATTATTTAGTTTGAATTCAAAACATATAAGATTGAATAAAAAAATAAAATAAAATGAGAATAGATTAGAAGAGGCTCGTGGCATCGCATGTGACGGTTAGTTAGTTGTAGTCGGGCAAAATTATCAGACTTTCTTATTTTAAAGTTATTTATTTTATTTAAATTTTAAATTTTAGAATTTAAAATTAAAATAAACTAATTATATAAAATAATTGTTACAAGACTATCAAGCAATATCTCTAACTAACCGGGATTAGTTCAAAGTGGTAAGCAAGTTAAGATCACTTAAGTAATGTCTCAAATCCGAGTCTTTGTGTATGTAAAACATCTTTGATGAGAGACTCACTCACCAAAGCTAACTGTACGACACAGGCCGATCCGAATTAATCAAGACAAAATCTTAGAATCATGAGGGGAAAAAATACTATCTCTGTATATAATTATTTTATTAAAATTTATTTTTCTCTGCGATATAAATGCGGCCAAATTGTGTTCACATAAGATAGCGAATCAAGCTTCACCTCCTAATTGTCAAGTTATGTGCGTGGTGATTGATATTTGAAGCACATTAATTAATTCCAATTATAAAAGTCTGTTTTCCCGTAATCACGATAAAAATCCAACCATATTCATACTTTTAATATGATTAAAATATGTTTTAAATATTTATATTCTTTATACATTTAAAATTTATTTTTCTATTTTTACTTTTAAAAATACAGTCCCACTATTATCGTATTTAAAAATTTAAATCTAATTATTAACATCATTTAAAATTTTATGTTTAATTAATTAACATGATAGTTTAATATAAAAAAATATTAACTTAGAAATCAAATAAAAATATTGCGTTATAATAAATATAAATTTAACAATATATTTTTAACAGTGTTAGTTACTTCAACTTTTACATAATGATTCGTATTATATAAAATTTATCTATTAAAAAATCCATATTATAAAATTTAAAGATTAAAAATTACTTCATTCCATTTTAAAAAAGTGCAATGTGATAGCCTGCAGAAGGTATACGGACAAAATTACAAATGTGTCTCCATTTCTTCAGAAGGTTCCAAGAAGTCTCCTTGAAGAAAACCTAGAATTCGTCAATCTAAGAGAAGATTCATTGTAAAAAATTAGATTTAGAGCATATGGAAAATTTATTGTAAAAAGTTCACCCTACAACTTCTCTTATAGATAATAAACACAACGTATATTAATACACAGTGTGTTTTAGTTTCATCTTTTTACCAAAAAAAAAAAGATTCATTGACATGTAACTTTACATGTCTTTTTAATCCTTGAATAAACGAAAATCAATAATTGCGATTAATAGTAAAAAATAAAGATTATTTTACAGGAAAAAATAAATTGTACTCAAATCCAAATATATATGTGTAATTAAAAAAGTGTAATTAAGGGGGAGAGATTTGAGCCATCAACATCAAAGTTGGGTTGAATAGAATAGGGTGAAGGTGGGACATGAAAAATCTTAACATTGATACCAAGAATTTGTTTAGATTTGAAGCAAACTTTTTGGGACAAATTATTCAACAAGAAACTATTACTAAAATAAAATAATGACATTTTATGATAATTGTGTTAGTCAGTGTTGAAGGTTAGGTCTATATCGTTGGTGCAATGATCGACAATGATGCATCACAATTAACTAGAAGTTCACGGTCCATGATTCTTTTTGAAATTATGAAGATTTTTTCATCCTTACATTTATTTATTTTTTAAAAAAATTAAAATTGATTGAATTTTACTTCCATTGATATTGTAATATATAAGAGTTTGCCGATCTGAACTTTTTTTTTTTGTTGCTCTTCCGTTTCTAAGGCCTCACATTGACTAATCCAGATCGACTCGCGTTGGTAGGTGGGTCTCCCAGTAGGGATTTTCTACATACACAATAACTCGAACTAGATACCATACTGAAATAACATCAAGCTGCTAAGCACTTGAACTAATCATTGTTGATGAATTTGAACGTGTTTAAGTGTATATTATATTTTAATTTATAGGTAGGAGTGAATCTTGATAATTTAGGCATTAAGTTTTAAAAAAAAGACGTATTTGGACATCATACTAAAATTGTATGAAAAATATAATTATGACTCTAATAATCAGTTGCAGATCCATGTTATGAATATAGTGGGCAACGGTCCACCTTCAAATTCAAATTTCTTTAATAGTATTCAATTTCTTTTGTGTTAATTATTCATTTTATTGTTTGTACACACTAAAATTTTATTTGTGTCCATTTACATACATAAAATTTATATTATTAATATATATGTGTACATTCTCAAAAAAAAAATTATAGATTCGCCATGCTAATAATTACACTCAAGTTTAATTACAAGAAATTCCAATTCTCTATGCATGCTTTATTAACAAAGTGTAAGTATATCTTAATTTCCTGTCACATTTGATTGTTCAACTTATAATGAAACAATTATATAAATTTTAATTTTCAAATGATATTAATTATAAAATTGAAGAGTGTAATTACGTACATAATTATATTAATTTTCACATATCCTATAAGAATCGAATTGAGTAGGTCTGTAAATGAACTGAACGTTCAGCGAACCGTTCATGAACCGTGCGGCGGGAAGTTCGTTTTTGTTCGTTTATTTATTAAATGAATTAACATAAACAAGATTTTGCGTTCGTTTAATTAAATGAACGAACAGGAACAAATGACTCGTTCGTTCATTTATGTTTGTGAACGTTCGATTATATGTTCGTTCGTTTATGTTCGAACAAAGGACAAGTTGAATATGTTACGAAGATTATTGAAGTTGTTTGGATTTCAAGAAGATTGTTATGTTGAACAAATTAATTTTATGTATGTTTTTGTTGTATTCGAACAAATTAACTCTAAAGTTACATGTTATATTAATGAATTTTAAGTTGTTATTATTGTTGTTTATTTTTTTTACATTCATTTTTTGTGTTCGAATAAGTTTTTTTGTGTTTGTGTTGTTCGTTTATGTTCATTTATTATGTTCGTTTATTTTCGTTCGTTTACATTTGTTTATTTTCGCTTATCATTTAAATAAACGAACATGAACAAACTATATTCCTTAATGAACGAACATGAACAAAAAAATTATTCGTTTATGTTTGTGTTCGTTTATTTATTAAATGAACGAACATGAACATACCTCCGTTCATGTGCGTTCGGCTCGTTTACAAGCCTAGAATTGAGTAATTGAAGGCCCCCTGTTACACAAAAGTCAATTAAACCTAAATCATAATAGATATGACTTTTCAAACACGTCCTTAAAATTTATATTTTTTTATTCAAAACTAATGTTACAATTTATGGTTTAGTGTTTAAGTATATAATGTTTAGGAATTATTTTATAAAAATATTAAATAAAAATTTAAATCCATATTAGGAATGAACTATATAAAATCTAAATAATAAGTTTCTTACACCATTTTAGAGTTCATAATTCAACAAATGAAAGCTTTTGTGACAAATTTAAAAGCGGTTATTGTCACGAATTGCCAATATACCCATTATTCACGGAGTCAAGTCATTGATTCTATAATAAGATTTAGACGCCTAACATGTTGATCCATGGGTTGAACAAAAGGAATTATTAAGATATGAGGTTCCAACCTTTCAAAACAATCAAACAAAGGTATAACATTTTAAAATTTACTCATAAAGGTCCATCATCATGAAAATATTTTCCAATAAGAGTTCTCATTTAAACATATTTGATAATGTTAATTTTTTATTAGATCTTGTTATATCGTCGGAGATAGCTTCCAAAAACATCATATTTGTTCACGAATAGACCTATGATAATTTCATATGATTTATAAGATTCAAACTCGCTCTAATTATTGTAAACATATTATTTAATTTAGCTTATAGATAGTAATCGTTATCATCGGTCTGATATCATTCGTCCTATGACCATAGTGTTTACACTCGAAGAAAGGTTGAAAAAAAGAGAGATTCAACCTTCTCTCCCCTAGCTTGAATCGAAATTATTCGTCTTCTCTTCCACGCTACATTTCTCCTCTCAATTCTTATAGAAAACTATTGATTAACAACTATCCCTAAATTAATCTGACTCTCCATCCAAATTAAAATGAGTGAATCGTCAACTATAGATAAATTGTTCTCATAATAACTCGTCCTTTGAAGATATAAATGATATGATGTGAGTGGAAACAAGTGTGGTCGACATCGTGTTTGATTTGCAATATTTGAGTGGACGTGTACAATGAGTTTTCCCTATCGATTTCCCTTCTCACATCATACATGTGAATACATTTAATGCACCTTCACAATTTCTAACCATGAATGACAAGTCAAATTTGCAGACCTATCATTACCATCTTAAATTACAAAAAGCTTCCAGAAGATTGCAGATTCTCTTTGTTGAATGGCCTATCTAATGAAATATATATTAAATCATGACATGCAATATGATGGTACTTCATTTTAACTTGATTAAGATTTAATTTTTAAACCCTAAACCCTAAACACAAACAGTAAGCATTGCATTTAGATACAATCTCAAAGGAAGATGGAGGCGAAAGCCTCGGATTTTCAATCCAACTCATAGCAAAAAAATTGTCTGATTCAACAAGCAATTTATGAGAATTAGATCACGTTAATGAAGAAAGAACCTGGCAAGATTCCCAAATTGCAGTCAGTTCAGCCCTTAAAGGATCCGATATTCCAATGGATTTTGAAAAACGAATGACACATAGACCATTGTGATCACGGAGAATTCCTTTGATATCTGCATGACAAAATTTTTCTCGCACAACAGCATCGACATTAAATTTAAGGATTCTGATCGGTGGAGCAACCCAAGAATCGATGTTGGACCTATGCCGATGTTAAATATGTTTTTTTGTCATTAATTAACCTCTTCAAAAAATTTCCAGTAATGAAAAGAGTTAATTTCTGCTATCAGTGATGATTTATAAAGATGTTCAAACGTTTGGTTTGACCATCGAACCGATCAAATTTCCCAAACTCAAATTGATTGAATTTTTCTTTCTTTAATCGTTAACCGGACTAATTTTTTTAAAATCATTAATCGAATCAAATAAAATTTCATTAATTCGATCGGTAGTTGAATTAACCAAAATTTTTATAATTTTTTAGTTAAGTTAGTTTGAGTTTAATAAATATATTTATTATTTTGATTAAAATTTAATTAGGTCTTGACAATTGAATAGATCTAGTGTGGTTAAAAGTTAATTGAATAAATTTCAGCCATATATTTTCATTCATCCAACGGTCCTAAATCCGTGTAAAACTAAATAGTTTTACATTATGTAAGTTGATCATAATCCTATATATAATATATAATATTTTTTTGTTATTTCGATGAATTAATCAATTTTAAACCAAATTAACCTTTAACAAAATATGTAGTGAATATTTCTCTGAACAAGATTCTTCAAAAATATAATTATTGATTGATTGGAATTAAACAAATAAATTTTCTTTTCTTTATATTTATTCTTTATTTTTTTAATATTTCTCTCTAATTGCAATGGACTCATAGCACTGCTTCGATATAACGACACTAATATTTTCAAATTATGGCCCAAGGAGCCCACAAACGCATAATTGTTCATAAGCATAATTAAACGCATAATTTTCTTTTAGAGATACATATAGGACAGATTAGGGCTACCCTAACTACCATAACAGATCTCTGCGAATAAATGTGGCAAGGCTGAGCTTAGATCAGGATGAACAGCCACATCCTCCACACTGTTGCTGCCACTGTGATGCTTTTGTTTTGCTTGACTTGAGATTGACATCCACTATGTCCTCTTGCTTTGTTCAAGAAAGTGTTTCCATTTTTATTAACTCAATTTTTACTCGATTTGATCGAATACTTATCCTAAACCTTGGCACTAGTTTCAATAAACATAACATTGAGTCCGCCAGCCTTGGCTTCTGTTTCCTCTACAGAGACGTGCCTGTAAAATTGGGAAAACTTTGTATCACTATGTTCCTTCTTCAAACAATGCCCATCTGTTAATGCCAGTGCGGATTGTAGTCCACAAGTTCTGTTTTGTTCCTGACAAGCACAATGATCAGGGATTGATTTAGAGGAGAAGTCAAGACAGTCGTCCCTAAGTTCTTTGATCTATCCTGTCCAACAGTATTCCTAAAATCAGGGATGGACTTAGAGAGAGAGAGATCGTCTTCCTCTAAAAATTACAAATTTTTATATATTTTAGATATTTTATTTGTATTTTTAATTAAAATTATGTTTTCACTACCTCTCAAATTTTACAAGTTCTTACCTATTTAAAATTTTATAAATTCACTCCTCTTAACACAAAATCATGAGTCCGTCCCTACCTAAAATAACGATCAAGCCTAAAAGGATCGAAGACGCGGATCTTGTCAAAACATTTACGAAAAAGTTATCGCATGATTATCACTGAATAGGAACAAGAAGCGTGCAAGAGAAGCTGTTCGATGATTACAGCTTACATTCACCATAGGAAATGGTATTACATTTGTGTTACACCTGTTCTAGATTTACTCCGTAAATTAAGTTGTATCTCATTGTCATTTTTTCGATCATCGAAGTTTTTAGAGCTTATAAAAGGTTTTAGAATTCAATATAATCTACTATACATTAGTCATATTTATATGTCATACCAACATACAAATAATTATCATGATCTTAGGTTTGACAAAAATACTAAAAATCGATATATAAATTATCATATAAGGTTGAAAAAAATATTTATGATCTTTTTTCATGTTATTTATTATCTTCTTCAGTTTATTAGAATTACCGACAATTATTCTCTATCTAAATAAGAAATAGTGAATCATTAAAATTTGTGACTTTCTCCCGTTAACAAGCTCCAAAAGAAATCAAAGCATACACGGTTAGTCACCCTATCACCAATCATTTATCCTTTTTTCATTTCTAATTCTATCTCATATTCCCCCTTTCTACTTCCACTCGTTTTTCTTACCCACCCAGCATCAAGTTATCCTTCATTTTTCAACCATTTATTTTTGTTCTCAAGCTAATCTTGAAGTGAATGGAAGAAGTGATAATTTAGGGACTGAAATAGAATCTTCTAAAATTTAGAGATTAATTTAAAATAAGTCAATTGAGGACCTCTTACCCAAATAACTAAATATATATATATATAAAAGATGATTTCTGAGTGATCAGTTTACTAGTGTCCGTTACTATTGAACTGGTCTCTCGCGGGTTAACTTAGCACATTAGTTTGATATCAAATTATGGTTTGATCCTTTTACTATGTCCAAATTAAAGATTTAGTCTTTATATTTAAATGTTACATAATTTAAATCTTTATTTTTATAATCTCATTAATTAATTTAAATATATAACAGAGTTAACCATTTTGATTATCATGTTGTTGTAAATACTTTTTAAAACACCACTTTCATCATAAAAAATCCATATCAACATGATGAATATTATGTTAATATTTTAACCAAATTAGTTATTGAATATTTAGACTGAAATTATATAATTGAAGGACTAAATCGTGAATTTGACATATATGATGGATAGAAGAAGCACGTGCACACCGCATGATCACCAGGTTGCCTTATTTTAACTAGCCTAAAAATCGATAAGGCTAATTCACTGTTAGTTGCTAACAACAATCGCAGCAAATAGAAAATGGCATTAAGAGCCGCCGTACTTCGCCAACTTCGGCTCCCCGTCCAAACCCTACCGGCGATCGGATCAAGGCCTCAGTCCCAATGGAGTTTCCTCCGGTTGTTCTCATCGCACGACGATCACCTTACTAAAGAAGAAGTAATCGACAGAGTCCTCGACGTTGTCAAAACCTTCCCCAAAGTCGACCCTTCCAAGGTCATCCCTTCTTTACTCACTTTCATTTTTCATAACACTTTTTTTTTCTGACCCAATCTTTGAATTTTATGTTTCGTTAGTTGAATGCTTAGAAAGAAATGATTTTGCACTTACTTGATATTTGACCCGATTTATAATTGGTGTATCAGATTTGGTTTTATTTCCCTCCGTTGTATATTTGAGATCGATTAGGTACCCTTTTCATTGGTTGATCTGATGTCTTTGTTTGGTTTTCTTGGAAAAAAAGTGGGTAATGAAAATCGGTTTAAAATTCGAAGATTGCTTTATATAATACATTGATTGCATTTGTTTTGTGGATTGTTTAAGTGAAACTTCAGATTCATTGTCTCAATAGGATGCAATTTCAGTAATAGTATTAACTTGAAGCTTGCATTTGGAGCTGATTCTGCATTCTAGATTCGGTCAAAATTGTAGGGTTGTACAAGTGTTAACTGCTAAATTCGAGTGGGGTCTTGATGGATCATTTTCATTTTATGATTGTCATAACTTGGAGATAAACTACTCAATGGAGGTAACAACATTTTACTTGTTTTCTGGTTTTATAGATGAATGTACTTATTTTAGGGTAGATGGTAACGATTTCTGTGAAAGATGTTAGCTTTTGTTGAACCAAGTTCTCTTACAGCCATGTGCATAACATCGAATATGTGGGCATAATTCGTTACTAAGAGTAGGAAGCGAGTGCATTCTTGGTGACATTGAGTTTATCAATTCTTGTCTTGTCTATATAAAGATGGGTTTTAAATCTTTATTCTTCTTTTATTGATTATGTGATATCTTGACATTGTAATGCTATAATTATATTCTAGGAGTAAAGGGTGCAAAACACCATTGACTATCTTGTCACTTCTATTTTTCATTTTCCTTTTGAATATCACGAGTAACGTAAAAGGTATTGATCTAGGGGGTTATCTTATGCCTCTATATATGTTCCACTGTTATCCTTTGTCTTTTGTTTCCCATCGTTATGCTAGTTTCTTGTATTTATTTCCACACAAAAAAAAAACTTAACTGTTGTGGTCCAAATGCATGGAAAATGTCATTCCTTATGCTAGGAGTTAAAACGAATACTTGAAAAAAGACTTACTGGGAACTGAATCATCTTTATCGATCACTTGCAGGTGACACCTGATGTTCATTTCCAGAAAGATTTGGGGTTAGATAGCTTGGACAATGTGGAGATTGTCATGGCTTTAGAGGAAGAGTTCAAGCTGGAAATTCCAGATAAGGAGGCCGACAAAATTGACTCTTGCAACCTTGCTATCGAGTACATATATAATCATCCAATGGCTGGTTAATAGTAATGATGTTTGTTTCTTGTTTGAATTTTATTTCGGACGAAGGATGACATCTCCTGCTCTGTTTTTGTTCAACATTTAGGCGTTTGTACGAGTTTACCGTCATAACGAGGTTAAGACCAATGATCTGAATCTGTGTTTGGTGCAGTACTACCTAAACTTGTTTATACACCAAACAACAACAGATTTCAGTTTGCAATAAACATCTTGCATTGCATGGATGTTATCTTACCTTTCAAAATTACTCCTATATTTTCTTTTTCTATTGTCATGATATATTGTTTGCACTTGTCTTAAACTTCTTCCCTTTGCCAATGCATTATTCGTCAATATTTATGAAATTATGGAAGTTACTCCTTCCACAGAGGGATTGACGAAGTGATTGTCCTAGCTTGCATCCTTTTTTTTTCTATTGAAATAAGAAATGTCCATTCCAGTAGCATAAATGGAGTAATACTTCTTTCAAGCATTGGATTTCTAGATTCAACAAGTGATTGGTTCAGATATTACTGTTAAACATTGGATTCCAAGCATTGTCTGTGATCAGAGAGAGTATCTATTATGTTGTATGTGCCATCATTGCTTTCCCACACTATTGGAAGGGAAGGGGAAAATTTATGGGTTTTCAGCCTGATTTTGAAGCTTAATATTAAAATCAACAGGTTTGGACTCTAGGGTGGATCTAGAATTTTATGTTAAGGATGAACATATAGAAATTTAAGTTAAGGATGAACATATAAAATTTTAGGAGGAGAAAATATATTATCGATAGAAAATCAACTTTTTGAAGATGATTTGATCCATCTTGAATTAGGGCACTTGATCCATCTCGAATTAGGGCACTTGATCCATCTCGAATTAGGGCACTAGGTTATGAGTATATACTATAAAATGTTAAATTATTCACACATATATGTAGTAATATATCTATTTTTCAATATTATCGCCCTTTTAAAAACCATTCTCATATAATGAGCGCAATACATAAAATGAGATAACATTAAATATATTAAAATGTTTAATATTTTTAAGTTAATAAGAAGAGAAAAGTTTAGAGTATAAATTAAGTATATTTAGATATTCAATATTTCTTCAAATTAACTAATAAAATAAAATTTAAATAATCCAGACATTACATAAAAAATTCACTTTCATATATGTTCAACCTTTGTCCCATCCAAATATTCGTTAAAAACCCTAAAAATCTTAATATATCATATTTAAAAAAAAGTAATTATGAAAATTTTCCTGTGTGGATAATTTAGAATAACACGTACACAACCTTAAAAGTCATCATGTCTCATGCAATTTGCTAGTATAAATTCTGTGTGGGTTTAATAAAAAGAAACTATTTGATATGATGTTAATATTTTAAAATTTTATAATATAATTTAAGAATATCGATTTTTAAAAACCAACTTCAATTTGAAAATTACATTTTTAAAAAATATTGATGCCTGGATGAAAGATTCAAATTAAAACCAATAAAACATGTAAGAAGCATATTTAATATATTTTTAAAAGTAGAAGATGGATACTAAAAACAGATAAATAAATAAAATAATGTAAATCACAGTCATTTACGTTGAACAAACAGGAGCAGAAGAACTTGAGATATAAACAACAGAAGGAACTGAACAATAATTAAAAGCTGAAAGCAAAAGGTCACCTATGCAATAATAATCCTCATCAATCATGTGTCTTCCCTTTGGTTTTATTACACTTTTGTGTTCAAACTTTATTTCCTTGGGTTGTCACATTCCTTGTCTAAACTCAATTGAAAATGAATCCATAGATGGTCCATCTCTTCTTTTAATTATTCTATTAGGTAAACTGTGGGTTAACTTATATAGTATTTCTATCATTTTAATCTTGGTATAATTTTAAAATCTAAATATTTATATAAAATCAATTCCAGTTATAAGTAATTGTTCAATATTTTGAACTACAATAGATCATATAAACATTCCATATCATCTTTAAATTAGTGACAAATCGTTTAATTAAATTCATTAAAATTAACATATGTTTTCAATTGTTTACTTTATAAGGCAAAAAAAAAAAAAATATAATCTAATACTCTGCTAAATTTGAAACAAACTCCCAACCTAATACTTAGCTAAGCTAACTACTAATTTATTGCTTCAAGTATGTCTTGCCTTTCCCAATGACATCTAAATGGGGAGAGTGACCGGATTAAATTATCCATCTACCCGTCCCGTACCCAATAAGCAAATAAATAAAATAAAGGGTAAATTACAAATTTGATAACTAAATTTTACTATATCTCTTATTTCACTCATTGTATTTTAAATCTTTTTAATTTTCTCACTTAACTTAATACATTAGATTCTTTTGTCACTCAGCCGCTTTCTCACTGACAACGTTATAAATCTTTCTATTTTTTCAATTATGTCTCTATTTTACCTAATAAAATCACATATGTGTGTGTGTGTCAGATTAGATTAAATCCAGATTACCCTAGAAAATTAGACTAAATTTTAAGTCAGGTAAAACCTTTATAAATTCAAATTGAAAAAGGTTACGAGTGAAATGAAATAATGCTCAAATTAAATTCATGATAATTGAAAATTCGACCCGACCATGCACATCCCTAATACTACATGTATCATTATTAAATAAAATCACTATCAAAAAATATAAATCAAATAATTGATTAATAAATCAAATATAAATAATTATATTACAAATGTGTAAATCAAATAAGCAAAAGAATATCAAATCCATTCAAATGTTTTACATCCAATCAAATGCTTATTATTGTAATTTTCTCCCTCTCTTAACCATATAATCAATAAGATATTTATATAGTTTGATGTGAACTATATATGTCACTTATCTATCCGTTTCAATGATGTAAATAAAAATTATTCTCGTCAAATTATATATAACCACAAAAATAAAGAATTTTTTATCAAATATTTAACGTTATTATGTTCTTAAAATCTCAAACTAATATGAAATAATTTTATACCAATCGGTTCAAGCGATTAATGACATCGACCCCGAATTCACAAATATTTTATAGATACTCTATATTTGGAGTGTAACCATTTAGTATAAAAAAAATGTTATATTCCATTACTTAGTAGCGTTAGATTTTTAGGGGTGTTTGGTTCAAGGATTGTGAGATTCCACATTCTCATGTTTGGTTGGCTGAGAATCTCATTCCCGGTAATGTTTTATTACCAATAGTAGATTTTTTTTGGTATATTACCGAGAATGTCATTGCCTCCCTTCCCTTAGGTATTGTAACATTACCGGCGTTTTAGACTAAATAAAGTTCAGGGGTTAAAATTTTTTTACCCTTTCATTAAATCTTTTTTATATTTTTAATTTTGTAAAAAAATTATATAAATATTATGAATTTAATTTTTTTAAAGAAAATATATAAATATTTTACAATTTGTAATATTATACAAATATATAATAAGGACAATTTGGTCAAATATACATTCCAATAATATTTTATTCCTTTAACCAAACACGATAATATTACATTCCTGCTAAACCAACCAAACACAAAATACAACATTCTCAGTAATCCTATTCCCTGGTAATCTTTTATTCCCACTGGTAATCTTACATTCCGTGAACTAAACGCACCTTTAAGGTCTAATGTGAGCCATTGATGGTTAAATTTTATGATCATAGATCCGCTCCGCCTCTCTCTACCCTATTAACAAATAAAAATAATAAATACACCCTTATTCTTTCTAGTGCTATCAAATTGACCAAATTACATATCAAAATCAAAGTTAAGGAAAAATACATTAATTCAACATCGAGATTATGTGTTTTAAGTTAAAATTAAGATTAAAATTTATAAATACTATCAAAATATAAAATGATAAAACAACTTTTAACACTCTCGCTATATAAAAAATTAACGTGAGATATCCAAGGTTAAATGTGGGCCATTTAAACCAATTTTAACTCGCTACATAAAAAATTTATGGGGAATGGGTTGTAAATACTATCTCTTCCCTGAATTCTACGTGCTTTATCTACAGAGGGTAAAAGCAAAATCACCTGCACTGAGGAATTTTGCTATGTCCACTCCATTTCTTTTAACTTTCTGAGCACTATCTCACGTACGAATTACGATATTCCCGATCCGGAAAAGAGTGGAATGAGCAAAAGGTAGAGTAAGGTAAACTAATCAATACGAAAACCAGAAAACGGCGGACATGTCCCTACGTCAAAGTTCAAATTCGATTTTTACCATTATACCCCTGAGAACCACCGGAACATTTCGCTGATTTCCTCGCCGATGCGATTGGCTTCCACGTCATACTCTCCGACGGTGCCTGCGATATCGCTTCGGCGACTGCTCCCGGTAAAGAACCTGCCAGAACTACGAAAAGATAACGCACGAGACGATAACGAAGAAGAGAGCCTATCGACGTATTCCTTAAGCCAACTCCTTCCGGTAGCTACCTCGGCGGCCAGGCTTGCTTCCGAAGCTGCCTCAGCTCCGGCGAGCTCTTCTTTATCGGACACGTTTCTTTGATGCGTTTCATTCCTGGTCACCTCTGTTTCTTCCTCTATTATGTAATCAAATGAGCCGATGGAGTAAGACCTTCTTTGCTCACCCGATTCAGAGCCTGGTTGTCGTCGGAGACTTACCGAGCCGATCTCGAGATGGAAACTATCGGTGCGGCCACTTGCGATCGGTTCAGCCGCATTAGAGGATTGAAGCAAGGACTTGATGAGATCCGACTCGGAAGCAAACAGAGGCGAGCGGCATAGAGGACAAGTCTGATTCCAACTAAGCCACGTATCAATGCAATGAGCATGGAACGCGTGGCAACAGAAAGGGAGCAGCCTCAGTTGATCCTCCGGTTCAAACTTCGACAAACAAACAGCACAATCTCCGGTCTTCGAATCATTATTGGAGCGGCGAGTAATGGAAGAGAGAGTGAAAAGAGGAAGAGAGAGTGAAAAGAGGAAGAGAATCAAGAAACAAAGCCGTCCGCGATTGCTCCGGACTGACACGGTGGTTGTGGTGGCTGGAAGCAGAGGTAATGATAGTAGAAGTCGACGAACGAGATAAGTGACGCAAGCAACGCTGATTCAGATGCCACAAAAAAAGACAAAGAGAAACCGAAACAAGCAGCGTAACGGAAAGGATCAAAATTATTATTATTATTATACTCGGCTTCGCACCTTCAAATGAAGAAGACGAGGCATGCGACCGTTCAC